AGCACGTTTAAAATATTTTTTTCTTCAATAGCTTTCGAATAAAGCAATATTTACATTTATTTGAGATCGCATGAGAACCAAAATCCTTTGTCACAATTTATATGAAATCAAATTTATTATCTCATATGAAATCAAAATCATTATATTGAGATAGGTTACCATAGTGTAGGTCAAATCACATTTAATTTTATATACATTAAAATAATAAAATTAATTATCACTTGAGCACAACATCAATCAAATATAATACTCATATGATTTATATTATAAACAAACTAGTGAGAAATGAACTCACCTTTTAATATCCAAATCTCTCAAAAATGTCCCCCTCAATATCAAACAGATCCTATAGTATAATAAAACACAGGGTCCAAACTATACTAAATTAAACTCATATTAAGCACTCCAGAATATAGGTCAAAATAGAAGCAAATAGTAATCAAGACCCATAAATAGGGGTTCACATAGGTTTATAACTAATTTTAGCAATCTATCATAATTTTTATAACACTATTCTAATGATTTTGGACTTATTATCAAATTTAGGCAATTTCAGGGGTTTCAAACAAATATCCAAGTCTATTTCTAACTAGGCTAGACTCTGTTGGGCCTGTTTACAAATAATGGAGGCAACATGGGTCTAAAACAAATTTTCTTCTTCACTTATAATGCTGTTTCAACAAAGTCTGGATTTGTTCTCAATATTTGAAAACTTTAGGGGGTTAATATAAATTTTCCTATCCAAAGTCTACATCCTTTTTCACTCAGTTTGGACTTAAAACCAAGATATTTGTTTCGAGGGGTCTAAACTAAAATTTTCATTTCCTTTACAAGCTCATAAACTTTCAAGGGTCCCAAAAAAATTTTGTTATTTTACACACATATATATAGAAGGGGGAAAAAGAGGAAAGAAAGTATACGTAAACAGGATATTGTTAGGGGGAGTCTTGGCAAATTCCACAAACCTCACTTGTTTGCTATCAAGCTCCTACTCAAACTTGGGTTAGATGGGTTTTTACCATTGGTAGAGAGTGGAAGCAGGAGGACGTGTAACCTCTAGCCTCCCCCTTAAGAATAGTCAACATGCCTCCAATTCTATCTTTTGCTCATATTTCTCTCTCTAGTTGATGATTGAAGTAGGTGAGGTTGAGAGAAAGACAAAGAAACAATGAAAAGAGAATAAGAAGGAAAGGGATGAAGAGTATCAATCATTCTAAATCATACATCTCATCAAGGTATAAGCTAATCTCTATGAATTGCATGGTCAATTTTGTGGAGTTAGAAATCTTTAAAATCAAATGGTTTGTACTGTGATCTTGAATTGTGATTTTGGTTTAGGAGTAGGGTCTGTGAAAAAAAAAAAAACAGAGAAACCCTAGCTCCGGCAAGGACCTCGCTGTTGGCCACCCCTACTAGTCGGCAGGTCCCCGTCGTCTTCAAGTTCACTACCAGCAAGGAAGAGGGGTCGAGACTTGGTCTGTGTTGCTGTGGGAGAAAAAAAAGAAAAAGAAAGAAAAAAGAAAAAGAAAGGGAAGGCAACAGTGAGAGAGAGAGAGAGAGAGAACACAAAAAAGTTGTGTATGTGTGTGTGTGTGTGTATATGTATATAAAGAGGTTAGTTCACTGCATAGGGGCTACTACAATACAATTCATGATAGACACTAGAAATTTTGAGCTGACCTCAACACAGCAAGACACTAATTTCTGCATACATGAATGAACTCCACCCCAGCATTGTATCAGAAAATCCCTCATATACAAAATTTCTTCCGTTGCCAAGAATCACTATGATTTTTCCTGGACAAGCCATATGGAATTATTCTTTAAGTGAGTCTTATGCAACCATTTGATCCACAAGGAGTCGGCTTTAATGTGGATGTCCTAAAGTAATTTAGTCACTGAAGCGATATTCCATCCTTCAGCACTATACAAGCCTAAACCACGGTAACCACCCCATTTTCTTTGATATACATACATCTTGCCATGAAACAAGGGCCATCTTATGCTTAACCTTCTTGCCACTCCATAGGAACTTTCTACAAATTGAATCTATAGCTTTGTGAATACCCTTTAGCAACAAGAACCCACTTGTCTGAAAGATTTGGAATTCCAAACAAAACATATTTGACCAAGGCCAATCTCCCAGCATAAGAAAAATGTCAGTTATTCCAACGGAGAATTTTAGCTTTAATCTTCTCAAGTACAGGTTGAAAGAGTATAACATTCATTCTGCCACAAGCTAAGGGAAATCACAAGTATCTAACAGGAAGACAAGCTTCAATAAAACCCAAATCCTGTGGAATAACCTGTTTTGTTCTTTCGTCCACACCCCCCAGATAAAATATTACTCTTGGTTTTATTTGCAACTAAGCCAGAGACAGCAGCAATGTGGTTAATAGCATCCTGTATACATTTAACAGAACCACTATCCCCTTTAGAAAATATTAAAGATCATCCATAAACACAAGGAGAGTGATCTTTATTTGTTCTATCATCCACACCCCCCAAATAAAATATTACTCTTAGTTTTATTTGCAACTAAGCCAGAGACAGCAGCAAAGTGGTTAATAGCATCCTATATACATATAACAGAACTACTTTCCCCTTTAGGAAATATTAAAAAACCATTTGCAAACACAAGGCGAGTGATCTTTATTTGTGATGGAATCCTGTATACATTTAACAGAATCACTATCCCCTTTAGAAAATATCCATTATTATCTATTCAATGTTTTTGTAACCTTTAGTCCTGACTTGTTCTATTTGCTCTATTTTTGGGCTTGGAAGGAAACCATAGACCTATATGAGGGCACAAGTTATATCTTCTTCTTCAGTTAAATATTATTGTAAGAAACCCATAATTTATGAGTGTTTAGCTAATAGAGGCTTACAGCATACCATAGTCTTCACATTTTTTGTCCTTCAAACTACCTGGTAGTCTCTTATACTTGAAAGTTGCTAATTACTCCTGAAACCTTAGGCGGACAGCTTCTAAGCCTCACATGTGAAGCTGTGTCCAAACCTAAATAATGGATTTCCATGCTTGATATGTGTATCAATAATAGATTCTTGATCACTCTGATCTTATTTTAATCTCTCACCTGCTGACAAATGGTTTTTCCTCTACGGTCATTGAAGTCTTTATCTTATGGTAGTAATACTTGTCATATAAGTCTGGTAATATTGATATCTGTTTTTTGTCTAATGCCCTGTTTGGATGGAGGGTAGAGAGGGTGAGGGGAAGAGAAATGCAGCTTTCACCCTGTTTGGGAGTTTTTGTAAGGAGGGTAGAGAGGAGGAAGGAAAGGGAACGGAGGGTAAAATCGCGTGGTTTTGTTTCCCCCCGATTCGGGCAATAGAGGAGGGTAGAGGAGGGTAAAGGGAATCCATTGCGTGGTGTAATGACATTCTTACCCCCATCAAAACAAATAAAAAGGCTGATGGATCCAACTTCTCTCATCTCCCAAACTCCGATCCTTGAGATCTGGGAGTTCCCCTTGGTCGGCATCCCCACTGGCCCTAGGATCAACGGCCGAGACTCCTCCGTTTCCGAATCGACGGTCACCGATCAAAGCAGAGGGTCCCGCGATCGTCGCGGAGGCCAGAGGCTCGGCGCACGCCGTCGAAGGACGCGGTTTGCGAAGGCTCGTGTCGGCTAGTAGCGGCCATGACGCGGTATTTTCCAACTTTGGCGATAATTTGTTTGATATTGGTGCTTTATGTTTAGATTCGGAGGGACCCTGAAGTACTATGCTGGAATTTTGATAATTTGGGTATTTTTTTGTTGGAATTAAGAGTGGGAAGTGTCATTATCGTTATCTCAGTTGTTGTTGGGATCTTGAAATTGAGTACTTGGATTGTGATTTTGAATTTTGTCCTGGTTGATGTGATTGTTTGATCAAAATATGGAAATTTTCCGTGCATAAATGTCATTCTCACAACAGCAACTTTAAAAACGTAAAATGCAAGGGGAATTTAATGGACATCAGATCTGAAAATATTTTGATGTAGCAGTTTGTTGAAATTTTGTAAAATGGCTCTTTTTAGGGTTGAAATTGGTGTAAAATATTGTCATCCATTAGCTCAGTACCTGTTGAAACCTTACCAAATTGGTAGAATTGGTCAATCTCTTTTAAATTTGAAAAAGTAGTTTGAAAATTATAAGGATTGATTGCTTTGGTTTACTGATAGGTACTGATAGATTAGATTTTTGGAATTAGATTGTTGTTTATGTTTGATAAGATACATCGTGTGTTTTGTCAATTTGAGTTGTGTGTATTGATTTGATACGATTATGTGTTATTAATATAAGGTCATTTATGTAAATTTGCATATATTTCCTTCCCTTCCTTCCCTCCATTATTACTCCCAAACAAGTTATATTAATTTCACCTTCATTCACCTTACTCAACTCCCAAACAAGTTATATTAATTTCACCTTCATTCACCTTACTCAACTCCCAAACAACATATTACAATTCTCTTCCATTCCCTTCCCTTCCTCACCTTCATTCACCTTACTCAACTCCCAAACAACATATTACAATTCTCTTCCATTCCCTTCCCTTCCCCTTGTTTACCTTTCCTTCCCTTCCCTTCCCTTAGTAAACTCCCAAACACACCATAAAAGAACCATCATCTACTGGTAAATCTTGTGTTTAGGTTTCTCAAAGCATGATGGTGCCTTATATAATTGTGGCGCATCTGGCGGATTTAAGTTTGCTTTTTGAACCTTTCTAGATATTAGCCTACATCAGCCAGATGCCAAAAGCAGCTAATTATTATATGCTTGACAGGATTTATTGCTTATTGTATTAGTAGTGCCTGATACATCATTTTCTTCCATAAATATGTATTTGAATGATAGTTTTTCCAAGAATGACATAAAGCATTGAGACTTACCTGTGTTAAAAAATTTTACGCTGTTTTTCTGTTTGAGTTATTCATTTTAAGTTATTGAATTTTCCAGTAGCATGCTCAAACGCAAAGTTCTTATGCAGGTTAAAACACCTACCCTTTTCCTCCTGGGTGCACAAGATCTTCGAGTTCCAGTTTCTAATGGTTTACAGGTAAGTAACTTACATGGATGGTAAATTCTTTATAATCATAAGTGTTTAAGTAAATCATCTGATGAATTTGATTTTAGAAAATTTATCATTTGGTCTTAGACTCTTAGGTATACCTCTTAGCCATGATGCTCTAGATACGTTACTAATTTAACATAGATAGTCCATTGGAGAATGCTACACAATTAGTTTAGCCTACTCTAAAAACTTGGATTAAAAGGTTTCTTTTACTTTTATTAGTGTTCATATTGTTTTTTTTCACAATTGTATCATATTTTGGCTTTGCTGCAAATTTAATTAATTTGAAGGATCATACTTTCCACCTGCAAGAGTAATTTGGTTAAATTTACATGCATGAATCTTGTAAAGCCATTTATCCCTTTACACATGCTTGTAAACATTATTTGCATTCACTTGCTTTTTGAAAGAGTTGAAATTGGCAATTTTGATACACCCCTAATCTGAAGATATTTTGGAGTTAATCCTAAAATTTCGTTAAATATTAATCATTCTTTAATTCGAAAGGTTTCCAAGGTTGGACTTACCATCATAGAAATTTCTATGTACTGATTTATTCTCATGAATATATCTATTAACTTTGTTTATTTCAAATGTTCCTAGTATGCAAGGGCCCTGAGAGAAAAAGGGGTCGAGCTCAAAGTGATTGTGTTTCCTGATGATACCCATGGAATTGAAAGGTAAATTTATTTCTTTTTGGTTCTTGAAAATTATATGTAGAAGGCTCTCAGCATGAACTTTTTTGTTTCTTTCAGGCCACAATCTGATTTTGAAAGTTTTCTCAACATTGGTGTCTGGTTTAAGAAGTACTGCAAATAAATCACCAGAATCTGTAATTATCTCAATCCAACAGTATATTGGCATTTTGCCAGTCACATTGGAGAACTTAGAATTTATCATACTGTTTCTCTCTGTATGTCATCGTTGATGACATTTGTGATACAATTGATGATGATAAAGTCAAACCATGATTCTGGATATTGTCTGCTTTCAAAATAATTCTTATCTGTATAGAAACACATTTTGTCTACCAGTGGCAAGTATCTTGGTTCTCATTTTGCCTGGATTAAGGGGCTGTTTGGTTGGCAAAAAACAACCCCTTGCAACCTCTTTCCATACTCTGTGATTGTCAGTTATGGAGAAAAAAGTTCAAAAAAAAAAGGGTTTGAAAACTCCTCCACATAGGGGAGGGTAGAGGAGAGGAGTGGTTCCCATTTCCAAATCTTATGCCTCTGAAATGGGCTGGAAACGTTTTTTTCTTCCCATAAAATTTGGGAGCTTGTACGATCCTCACTGCTGGCCTCTTTGAGGGATAGCCCTACTCTTACCGTCGCTCCCACTTCCATCTCCTCTCTCGCGCTTTAATTTTCACCTATTCTCCATTGCACTATCATCCCTCTCTAGTGGCTGCAATTTTTTGAGATTAGATGAATGGATCTTGAAAGTTCAGGGCTATTTGATGCTTGAGGGAAAATCCTACTCTCACTGCTTGTTCTCACTTCCATCGCCCTCTTTGATGACTGCTTTATTGAGATCAAATTGCTGGATCTTGAAATTTTAGGGCTACTTGTTGCGAGTTTTAATTTAGAGCTTTTTGAAATTATTGCTGGATCTTGAATAAAGGTTTGGCCTTTCTTGGAGAATCTCTGACCTTCTTGCTTGATATCAACAAATTTGGCAATTTAACGTATACTCTCTCATATTTCTAAATTTTTTTAGATTTACTATACTTCTGGTCAAATTTGGCAAACGTAATGGTTGCATGCTAATTTTATCAAATTGAAGTATGATGGTGGTGTATATTTCCTGTAATTTCTGCGATTTTAATTATTTTCTGCTCCTAATTAGCCATATAACTGAATTTGATTGAAAAAAGGCCAAGTTTCAGCCTTTTACTTAATTTTCATTTATCAATTTGTTCACATATCTTGAGTTGTTTGGTCAATATTAGTTTGGGTATGTCTACATGTTTGGTCATAACAAGGAGTTCTTGCTTATCAATCATAACAATGTGTTCTTGCTTAGCAGCCATAACAGATTCTATAAAGTTTGATGTATTTGATTATAACAATGGCCATTTATTTAAGTTTGCATTCGTACCTTTTGGATGCAAAAGATCGTTGATGGAAATGGATTAATTTGGTAATATGTTTGGAATTTGAGAGCTCAATGACAATGTGTTCTTGCTCTTGACTATGATGATTTTAGTTCTGTATATATTGTTACTCATGAATGGTCCTGTGAAAATACTTGATTTTTTTCTCTACATTCATGAATGGTCAGTATGGAATCTGTTTATGAACCATTGTCTCGAGTCAGAATTAGAAATGACAAGAATAGGAACTCAGGTGTCTGCATGCATGTAGATAGTCTTTGACTATTTATCATACTTGCTTACATGATGATATTGACCAAAAATATTAGAAGCTCGTCTCAAGTATATCAATTTTAATGTTTATCTCTACTTTTTATTAGTACTTGTTGGTGTATATTTGACTATAAATTTTCTGAAACTAAATAT